AGAACAGCACATACAGCATGGAGCACTCACACCGCGGGATGGTCGGCGGTGTTTTTCCCCCGTCATCAAGAGTCGAGTTGGACGCAAAAAGTAAGCCTAGAAGGTCGGCTTTGTCTTTTGCGTCTTGGGCCAGTGAGTCGTTCTCCCTGTGCAGATATGGTAGTGATGGCTTACAGAAATTCCCTTGGACAGCCTTGGCGAGAGACCAGAATGCACGGGTTCCCGAAGGAAGAAGAACTAGTTTCTCGCCAATTCTGCCTATGTGCTCTGACTTTGCCTTGCAATAACTCTTTTGAAGGACCTGGAGGCGAAGTTATACTTCTTTTTAAGTGTGCTGGTGTTTACATCTCGAGTCGCCGAAGCCGCAGCCCAGGCTTGATAACACTCCTGCTTACTGTGTAATGCAGTCTTACAGGAGCGACCAAACCAAGGCTGAGATCTACCTCCGATGGGTACCACAGATGATGGAATAAATAGTTCCATTCCCTGTAGCACCACATCAGTGACAGAGTCAGCAACAGCGCTGAGATCATCTGGCGAGAAGCAAACCCGCCCCCATGGGTAGGACGCAAAGAAAAACCGCATTCCGTCCCAATCCGCCGACCTGTAATACCAAACACGGCGGCAACCTGCAGAACGCAACCGCGAGGGGAGCGTGAGTGGCACCACACTCCGGATCAGACAATGGTCCGAAGAGCCGAGAGGGGCATCGACGGAAACCTGATATAGCATGTACCGTCTAAAACGACCTTGATGCTCCGATCTGCAAGGAAGCTGGTGATCCAATCGCACAATTTCTCGCGAAGCCCATAGGAAGGGAGCTTCGAAAGAAGCGCTTTGTGCCAAACCCGATCGAAGGCCTTCGCAATGTCCAAACTAACGGCCAACGCCTCCCCCTTGGACTCTACTAGCTTCTGATAAAGGTAAGGGTAGTATATTGGTGCTATTGGATTTTACTAGAGCTTTCGACTGCATAAACCATGATATACTTCTGGCAAAACTGTCATACTACGGAGTATCGGAGGCAACATGTAAATGGTTTTACTCATTTTTATCAAATAGAAGTCAATATGTTGAAATTAACACTGCCCAAGGGGAATTAATGCAATCAAGTATAAGAAGAACGTCCAGAGGCACTCCGCAAGGATCTATCTTAAGTCCTATTCTATTCATACTGTTTACAGCGGATATTAGCAAAGTATTAAAACATTCTAAAATACATCTGTATGCCGACGATACTCAAATTTATCATTCGTTCAAGCCAGAACAGACGGAAAATGCAGTCATGAAGTTAAATGAAGATTTGTCGGCAATCCTCCAATGGGCAAAAAAAAATGGTCTAACACTTAATCCCTTAAAATCAAAATATATGGTGCTAGGAAGTAAAACACAATGTAAAAAAATATTAAGTAAGAAACCGGAAATACTCATCAACAATAAAAAGGTACTAAGAGTGGATCATATTAATAACCTTGGTCTTACCCTCGATAGCCAACTACGCTTTAATGAACATGTAAATATTAAAATACGTAATGCTTTTTATCGTTTAAAGGTTTTATATAGCATAAGAAAATACTTAACAGTAACGATCAGGAAGACCTTAGTTGAGTCGTTAGTGTTATCACATTTTAATTACTGCGATACCGTCTATGGCCCACGACTGTATGCAAAAACAAAAAAGGCAATTCAACGCGTGCAAAACGCATGTACTCGTTTTTGCTATAACGTCCCAAAGAGAGCTCACATTACTCCATATATTAATGAAAATAATATTTTAAAAATGGACGCACGTAGGAAACTCCACTTGGTTTGCTTAGTCCACAAAATTATTAGTAATAAAAGTCCACTGTATTTATACAATAAATTAGATTGGAGTAAAAATGCTCATGAAGTAAATACACGTAAAAGACTCTCAAACATGCTGAATATTCCATGCCATAAGACTAAAAACTTTAGGGGATGTTTTAAATATTCGGCCGCAAAAATATGGAATGATTTGCCACCACCCTTAAAAGAAAATTTTAATATTACATTTGAAACATTTAAAAAAAAGGTTAAAAAGGAGTTATTACATAAACAGAAGTCTTTTTAGGCCGAATAACTGTATGTTTATTCTGTAATAAAGTTTTTTTTTTCATCTAACACATTGACTGTAAAGAGGTTTACCAACAATACATAATTAAATAAGATGTGCGTGCGACCAAAATATACCCACAACAGCAGGGACTGGCTGAAAAACAGTGCTGAGCATAATGCCCAGCGAATACTGAGCCTGTGCCCGTTGCCTCACATTATAATCGTAAACTGAGTAATATTAGTTAATCTGTTAATTGTGAATGTTCATTTTTTTATAAAAATTTTAAGTCTAATCATTTTTATGTGTATACTTACTTTGTAAACTTTTCATTTGTAAACTTATTATTGTGTGGCAATAAATATTTATTATTATTATTATTATTATTATATCCGTCCGGATAAGAAGTCAGCAGAAGGTCCAACAAAGAAGGTGTATGATCCTCCACATCTGGAATCCGCGTAGATGAAGTAACCAGTTGTGTCAGACCATATGCCAAGGCAAAGTCATAAACAGATCTCCCCGCATGATCGGTTAAACGTGAACCGAGCCATTCGGCGTGGTGGGCGTTAAAATCGCCAAGGATCACGATCTCTGCGGATGAGACCTGTTGTAGAAAAGAATCTGTAGCCATTTGGACGTGGTCAATGAGTCGGTCTGTTTCGGCATTACCGCTATGGGACCTATAGAGGCACCCGTAGACTCGCGGATGGTCGTCTCTGTCTACACGTAGCCATAGGATGGACAGGTCCGAACCTTCAAGACTGCCCAGGCGTCGAGAACAGACGTCCTCTCTGACATACACGCAAACTCCAGCCCGAGGCACAAAGGAGTGCTCCAATTTGTACCCCGGGTAGGAGAGTTACGAAATATCAGCTGGAGAGGAAACCTGCGTCTCGGTCAGAAAGAGCAAGGCCGGCTTCGCCGTCTCCAGATGGTAGTGGACGGCGTTTAGGTTCCAGTGAAGTCCCCTGATGTTGCAGAAATTCACGGATAGCGTGGCAGTGGTCGCCTTGGTCTTGTTGCTCAGTTTGCCCCAAGCAGTTATGTTTTTCAGCGGAATTTTGCCCCCCCCCCCCCGAATACGCGGGGCAGCCTGAGCACCCACGCTCAGGAATGGAATAACATGGTCGTAGATGCTCAGCGAGGGATTCTCCAGGGGTACTGGTACCCTCCTGGGGTAGTCTATTGTGTAATTCCGCTGCCATGTTGATGGGGGGGGGGGAATTGGGCTTCCAGCCACCTGCACTCACCAGACGAAACGCAGAAGCAGAGCTTCTACTTCACGCCGGTATTCTGTGAGGTCGTGGTACCAACCCGGCTCGAGCCGGCCCATACGTGCAACAGCAAAAACTGCTGCGTGGCTCTACCACCGTTAGAGCTTCCATCAAAACAGTGTAATTTCTTACTAAATTTTTCATTGAGATCTTTTGGTCTATAATTATTTATAAAAAATGGAACCTGCCATCATCTACATCTACTGATTTCTTTCCATTATATATTTGACAGGTAAACTTTTGGACTATATTAAAAAGCTGTTGTTTTTGGTTCTCAGCTAAATTACTGTCACCAACAGCTGCGAAGGGTTCTTGGTATGCCTGAGTTTTCTATAGTAAGGGTATTTTTTCCCCTTATTAAAAAAGCTGGATTATAATCACAGCCTATAAATGCATAGAAACCAAGCAAACTTTCACTCAATAAATCACCACGTTGCTCATAAATATTTGAAATATTTATGAACCGTTCATTATTTCCTGTTCCCGTGAGAATCCATACTTGAGAAGAACCTCTTTTTAAATTTAGCATATTACCAAGCACGATTATTATGATATCCGTATCAAAGCGTACAAAACTAGAAAGGAAAAGACTGTATTAGAGCGAACGCTATTATAGTACGCGCTTATGGCCGCCCCAGAAGTGTGTTGTCTGCCTGGGTGATACAACCACAATATGTGTCTGCCGTGAAAACTATACATGTCAAATAATATTATCAACATTATATATAAATTGCAGCTTTATTGAAATAACGTAAATTATTAATTAAAAATTGTACTTTTCAACCTGTCTGCCATGACCTTGAAACCGTCATAGGTGTTGCCAATGTTATTTTTCGGTAACTTTTATTAAATATTTCAAGATGTCAAAGCGGCAGACTTATTGCTATCACGTTTTTTTTGGGTCATTTTTTTACACCTTTAACACCTGAGCGCCTCTTCTATATCGACCGCCGGTCAAACTAAAGAGTCCCCGTTTCATATACCTCAGGTGAAGCTTATTGAAATACCGTAAGTCTGCCGATCACTGGCTCTTAAGCTATAAGTGGACTGATACTTATAAAAGCTTTTAGAAAAATTTACTTCGCAAATATCCGCGTCATAAAATAAAATATGTGTCTTACCTAGTAAGAAGAGCACCTCCCGCTTACTAGGTAAGACACGTCATTTTATTTTATAACGCGGATATTTGCGAAGTAAATTTTTCTAAAAGCTTTTATACAATGGATTTCCGCAAAGTAACGCCTGATTCTATTAATTGGACTAATACTTTTCAACAAAGTTTCAAGATGCATCAAACACTTAATGAAAATTGCGTCATGAGCTCTCAGACCATTCGGATGGGTTTTCAATAGGATTTTCTTGGGCTTTTTTTTGCTAAGACAGTGCAATTTACTATTCTGCTTATTGCTTTCATCACCTCTTACCACAAAATTAGAATTTAGCACTGCCTAATAATATATTAAAAAAACAATGACAATAACACTACCCACTTCGTTCTGTTAGGAATTTCTATGTGCTTTCATCAAATGACAGACAAAAATTAAACGTAAAAAAATATATTAAAAAAATAGACAATACTATTAACATTCCCTATACAAAATAAAAAATATATCTAAAATCGTAAAATATCTAAAAACTCCTTTACTACGCTAATTAACAATTTGTAGGGTGTAATTTTTGTTCTGAGATCTCAACTTTGATAAAAATGACAAAAGATCTAATCCACTAATCGGTATGATGGTTCTTGTAGGAGATTCCTCAGTAGTCGTAGAATCTGCTCTCGTATTCGTTTCGGTTTCTTCACTTGTATTAAGTGTTTCTCCAGTAATACTGTCTGTACTCACTTCATCGGCTACCCGCGCTTCGGTGCTTTCTTCAGTTGCAATTTTTTGTAGCGGAATGACGGCTCTCAGAGGATCTTGAACCCTTTCAACTTCACCGCCTTGTTCATTCCGTAGAGCTGGCTGGGTTACATAACTTTTCACCGTATAGTAATAGGTTCGGGTACGGGTGACATATTTGTAATACGCAGTAACTGTAAAATATAACAAATACAATATATTATTTATTTTTAAAGGCATACCAACTGAGTAGATAAAAAAATTAACTATACGGATATTATACATAAGAATTATAAATTTAAAATTTTGTATAACCGACTTCAATATAAATTATTAATAATAACTCAAAAACTATTGGTCAGACCTTGATCAAATTTATGTGGGACAACATGTGAAGCACCAGCTTTCAAGTAAAAAAAGAATCATCGAAATCAGTTCACCCAGTAAAAAGTTATGAGGTAACACACAAAAAAACATACAGTGAATTGACTACCGTCTCCTTTTTGAAGTCGGTAGAAAAAGGAAAACAATGCATCGACTCTAATAATCTAATAACACACGGTCGAGCGCAGCATTTGGAATGCTTAATAATTAAAAACAATAAAAAAAGAGAGAGAAACTTAAAACTTTTACAAATATACATATTTATAATTTTATGAATGTAAATGAAGTGTAAGTGAGGCACAAATTTTATCGAACAAAACGCCGTTGTGCCCTTTCAATAAAAGTGCATATAGACCATGCACTTTATATATTGGATTCAAAATGACGCTATCGTATTCCAGGTGGCTTTTGACAAAATGGTTTAAAACAGTGATTTAAGGAAATATTCCCGATAATACATAGCATACTGTATGCCCTTTGTACTACTTTGTTACAACGTAGCTCAGAACCAAATAACACGCCTAAATCACGTACCTCATTCGCTTTTATTAACTCTCTGCCATTCAAACTGTACGTTGTGATTTTTTTTCTTGTGAACGGAATGTGTGCACGTTTTTCAATATTAAGAAACATTCTATATTTATTCATTTTGCACGTAATACGAGCTGTAGAATATGTAGCTCAGAGGTTAAGCGCTCGCCTTGAAATTTCATACAACACGATCGGATCAATTTCGATCCCCTCCGACATCAATGAAATTGTTAACCGTAATTTTAAGCACCGAATTTTCAGTGTGTGCGCAGGTACTGCATGACTTAATTCCTCCCGCTCCGTTTTATCATCGGACCACCAAACGCCCGGCTGATTCCCACCCCCTTGTTGTCGACATACCACGCATTCGAACCAATGGTCTGCTTCGTTGTTCATAATGTGTATAGCAAAGGAGTGGAATAATTTTTCAGTATCTGTCTTTTTATCCGAATACAATGTGGGTGTCGTTAAGCTAGAGTGACTGGGATTTCGTTAAGTCAGTAGGCTTTATTAACTTAGGCTGCATCACCACTTACCGTCACTGTAAGGAAACATGCATGTCAGAGAAATTACATCATGTTAGGAAATTTAAGGTACGCCAACACCCATGAAAGCAACGCGGCGAATTCTTTCCCGCCTCAAAATCAATAGTGAGAGCAAGCCTGCCGCGAGCTATGGGACGTAACTCGTTGATTTTGATTATTAGAAAATGTAATATAAATTTGTTGCAAAGTATTTGAAGTTCTCCTTTAAGTTAAAAAATAAACTCCATGTATGTAGCGAGATAGTTTTAAAAAGTCTAGTATGCTTCTCAAACCAATATTGATGTATACTTTAAAAAGTTCCAACTTAATAAGCAAAACTTATGATCGAATAGGATAGAAAAAGTTGACGCACGTTTTAAATTATGCCAGAAACTTTTAATTTGGTTTTAATTAAAGATCTCTTTGCTTTCACTCCAATCAACTCCAATACAATATTTATAAACATTAAACATGCTATTATTATTAAAAGTTATAATCCTTGCGGGATTTTCCCCCTCCAAAACATTTTTCCACACCATATCCAATATATGGGAGGAGAAGCTGGTTTAGCACAAATTGCAATGCTTAGCCGTATAAATGTTTCCCATCACAAGTACACTACAAATCAGCTTCAATACCAACGCAAGTGTGACTCGATCTTGCGTCACCATCATCCATAGGAATCCTACAACTTTTTCACTTAGCCTACACTCCGCTTACTTGTATAAGACTCCCACATGAAAAATCTTTCTTCATCCGTGGTTGTCGGAATCCATTATTTTAAGGTATACAAAGACTTCTACAACTAATTTCTATAGAAATAGGTACCTTTGTAATCATCGCTTCGATACAGTCAAATTGTGTTTAGAATTTAAAATTAACACCGATTATATTTTACAGCTAAACTTTTAAGTTAAGTTACTATTTTAAATAAATTATCATTACAGTCTTGTAATAAATCATAAGTAATATAAAATTTAAGCCGGATTTGAGTTCAATATAAAGTAGTTAAGCAAAAGAGCGTACCATGTTTCTTAGATGCCTTGTAATCAACAAAGCAGTAATTATAGCCGATCCCAATGCCGATGCTCAATGTTGTTGCAATCGTTAAAACAAGACACGCGAACACAAGTACAAGGGCTAAGCATCCAAAGATCCTGTAAAAAAAAAACATGCGTGAGTGTCGTGGAACAATCGGTTGGATCGAAGTTCCTTTTGTAGTATATTATTATTGATAAACGTATTATATTATTGATTAACAAAATACAAATAAATGAATTACTAGCGTATATTAAAATGAAGCGTCATTTAAAATATTATTTCTTTCATTACAAGATAAGGAAAAGTGCGAGGGAGATGTATATTATTCCATCTCGCTCGCACTAATGATACACTCTTGTTAAAGAAAGAGAGCGCGTACACAAACAAACGCGCTAAAATCTACTAAACTTTTCGCATGGTTAAAATGTTTGGCTATAATTGAAAAGATAAGAAAAACACAATTAATGGCTTTATAATAATTTGATTTAATTGTACCATGTTCAATAACTGAGTCACATTTTCGTGGTCAGTTTCGTCATTATTTTCAGTTGTCAGTGTCTGTGATGTACTTCGGCAGCTAAAATTCCTTTTTTGATAGTTTTTGTCATTTTATTCAGGACATTTTCAGGTAATTCGTAGGTGTGGCAAGTTTTCTTTAATAATCTCATTTGATTCCGTATAAGCAAAATATAATTCAATGTAACAGCTGACATTCTGTTGCTTATCTTGATCTTGACAATATTCACTACGATGAATACGCGCTCCATCTCAACATTGGAATGTGGAAGCGACAAAGCAGTGATAGCCAGGTCCACTAAATCCTGGAAAGCATTAAATCCTGCTGCATTCCTATATCTAGAGACTTGAGCCGAAAACTTCACTGTATCCTCACTACTATTTTGTCATTGGATATATTGAATGCCATGCCACTGCGTCAGTATTTTATCAATTTGCTCGTCGTGAAATCCCAATTCTTTAGCAAGGACATTGAATTATCTTTGACTTGTTTCAGTGTATTTTCTTTACACAGATGAGCCATTATTTCTAGAGCAGCGTAATTAGTCGGCAGTCTATTCTGAATTTGTAATGCTAACTGAACTGTAAATTCAATGCAGCTTCTTCTAATTTCAGCAAGTTTTTCCGATGATATATTTACTCTTTGGGCTTGGTTCTCAAATAAATATCCAAGATATATATATAAAGCTAAGTAGATATATATATATATATATATATATATATATAAAGCAAGATATATAAAATGCTGTTTTTGCGTTCCGATATCTTAAAAGTTGTTCTTTAAAATGTGGTGCCAACACTTAATAATACCTTGAGGACATTTGGTTCTGTGCAGTTTAAAATCTATTACAGCTTTTGAATCAGGAAATATATCTTTACATAGATCGGTTAAATGGTCAATTGTAGAAATTAAACTGTGTTCCGTGATGAATAAAGCCAATTTTCCTTCTTCTTTCCGGCATCTCCAAAAATTTTCCTTTGATACAGTTTCAAAACAAATTTGCCGATTTTTTGATATAGCTTCACATTTATTTTTATGTTTATTAGTCTCGGTGTGCCTAAGTAAATCGGCAAGTTTTGCAAAGATTTCTGTATGGCATGGTAAACAAATGGCCTTATTTTGATCATTACTCACAGGTCTTGCCATTTCTTGAACTCTTCCATCACCTACCATTCCGGACAATATTTTGGCTATAAGCCTTCTTCTCCAGTGGAACTTTCATTTAACATTTTCACGTAAACACAAATTAAAATTCTAATAAGAAAGGAACTCCGCGCCGCCGTAATAGGTATGTAGTAAATAAGATAAGTAAACAGGGTTTTCTCTGTTAGTAACACGAGCGAGACAGCCATAGTAAAATCCTTTAATGTAAAAAGAGACAAAACAATAGAGTAAACCAAACATTATGGTTGTGGAATACCCGACCAGAATGAACTCATATTATTTTTTTCTATTTTTTTGGCTGACCCTGAATTTCTGACCTTAAATTTTCCATCAGATTTCACTAAATTATGTTTAGCGTGTCATTTTTTGAAAAAGCGCTGAAAAGCTTAAAATACTCCATTTTAAAAAGCGTCTTCACTCTTAAGCAACACAGTCAACTACACAACTACTACAGATCAGAAATCAGAATACCAGCAACGTCTAATGTCGGCACAAGACCTATTGCAGTGTAAGCACATACACGTCTGAGTTACTCGTCCGGGTAGTTCTATCCGCCATCGACCGACAAAATCGGTTTTGGTGTACACGTACAGTAACACTTTTTTCGCCTAGCCCCCATCCGTGAAATTCGTACCGTGCGATAAGGAACTTCGTTCCAACAATTATTGCAAAATTAATGTTGATATATATATTTCAATACTCGCAATGCTAATAAAATTACTAAAATTTTCGTTAATGTAACGTAACGTAGTAGTTTTCATCCCACGACCTTTATGTTCGCGATCCACACACTACCATTAGGCTACTGGCGCTACTAAAGAAATTTAATAATACTCGTAAATCCTTCCTCCTCCTCTATGTAACGGCTCAGCCGCTGCAGCATGAATGGGGTCAGGTAGACCGTGTAAAGCTCAAATTCTCATTTCATCCTAATACTGAGACTTAGCAACACATCTGTATTAGGAATTTAAAATAATTTAGTATAAGCGATAAAATCCGTAAAACTTAGTCTCATTTATGACTGTCTTTCGATTTTTAGTGAAGGATAAATGTAGAAGTCTGTGGACCAAAGCATCGTCTTCTCGGTAGTACTGTATTTGTCTATTGTGTTGTACTTCTAGAAAAAAAAAACTGTTTTTCCGTAAAAAAAATTCATATGTATCCGCGGGAAATGCAACACTGGAGTAAAATTTTTTGCTTTCTATTTTATATTTTAGAATCTTAGAAACATTGAAAACAATACCTACCGGTATTGTTTATGATTTACCTTTCTGAGAATAACACCAAATTAGTGAAATTTCTTCCAAATGCTTCACACATTGTAGTTTGACCAATTAAAATGCAAAAAAGCAGTTAATACGAAGCAAACGGCATAAAATATTAAGTGTATAAATCACATCACCATATTTCTTATATTTCAGTATCAAGGAATCATTGACATAATTCGAAAACAATAGAATAATAAGCAAGAAACATAAGAAGAATTGACAAGATACAGAAAACATGAAAAGCCCTAAAAATAATATATTTTTCATGTTGATAAAACGTAATGATTATATACTCTTTGATTGTTGCTAATAAAACGTAGTGGTTTTATACGCTTTATTTGCTACATCAAGCCTATTAAATACGGATTTATCTTACTCTACAGGTTCATGTGTTTACATTCCCTTATCTATCAATATACAAACAAATACTAACTGGCCAGGCAGACGTTGTTCTGCCCTTTTCGAAGACCCTTCCTATAATGTATTGTTAAATTCGCAATAAAAAAATATTGAGGGTCACTTATACTCTCACTTATACTTATAACATTGAGGGCATAAAAAGTATCCTATCTCTCAAGTTGGACCAAACTGCACACAGTGTGCAAAATTTCATTGCAATCAGTTCAGTAGTTTAAGAGTTCATCGCGGACAAACAATGTGACATAGAGATCTTTATACATATACTAGCTCATCAGGCAAACGTTGTTCTGCCCTTATCTATCTCTATCAATATACATACAAATACTAGCTGGCCAGGCAGACGTTGTTCTGCCCTTTCCGACGACCCTTCCTATAAAAATCCTTAAATGGGCAATAAAAAATTTTGAGGGTCATTTATCGGGATAAAAACTATCCTATCTCTCAAGTTGGACCAAAATGCACACAGTGTGCAAAATTTCATTGAAATCAGTTTAGTAGTTTAGGAGTCCATCGCGGACAAACAACGTGACACGTAATTATTATATATAAAGATAAATATAAATAAAATTGAAGTGTCTGTCTATAACATCGTAATAATTGCCTTATATAAAGCTGATAGGGTGATTTGCATGCCATTAGGACCATTTTTAAATAATTTGTCAGTCTTTCTGTCTGTCTGTCTGTCTGTCCGGGCTTATCTTCGGAATGGCTGTACCGCTTGCAATGAAACGATAGAGAACAATGCCAGGAGTATATTTTATCCGAAAAAATTTGGAGATAATTGTTTTGAAAATACTGAAAATTTATAAATGGTCTTTATTTTCAAGTTGTGAAAATAGCATCAAAACACATCCTAAAATATTCTGGACTTTCGTCAAAGCCATTCGGGGTGGGTCAGGTTACCCTAAGAAAATGTCTTTGAAAGATATAGAGTACACCGATGGTATAGACATATGCAATGCTTTCAACTCATTCTTCAAGAGTGTATTTGGTATTCCTAGTAATAACTACATATATCCACATACGGAATCGTTGTATACTGACACCGTTTCTAATGTACAGACAAACGCTGCAATAATTGAAAAAATGTTGAAAACTTTGGACACGAACAAAGGTGCCGGTAGTGATGGGTTACCTTCTTTTTTTTGGTCACGATGCGCTAAATCACTTGCTCTCCCCTTGACTATTATATTTAATCGCTCTCTACGTGAAGGGATATTTCCGCATCAATGGAAGTGTGCACACATAATCCCTGTACACAAAAAGGGATCACGTACAGAAATAAATAATTATAGAGGCATTTCTATTTTGAACACCGCGGCTAAAATCCTTGAACGAGTAGTATATAACGTAATTTACTCCACGCTTTCACGTGCCTTCCCTGAGCAGCAACATGGTTTTTTACAAAGGCGATCCACCACTACGAACCTGGCAAGTTTTTCTTCTTTTGTCCTTGAAAATATGGATCAAGGTGGGCAGGTTGATGTGATCTACACTGATTTTGAAAAAGCTTTCGATCGTGTGGATCACATGATCCTGCTCAACAAATTACAAATATTAGGGATTCACGGTGACTTGCTCCGATGGATTGAATCATATCTCACAAACCGCTCACAAGCAGTCGTGATAGGTGGTTTCCGTTCGAGCTACATAAACATACCTACAGGTGTTCCTCAGGGCTCTCACTTAGGTCCACTTTTTTACAATGCCTACCTATATGACATTGGTTCGTGCATTATACACACAAATTACCTCATGTATGCAGATGATAAGAAGATTTTTTGTAAAATTAACACCATACATGACTGCCTATTGATACAAAAAGACCTGGACCGTTTATTTGAATATTACAAAATAAATAATATAACTGTCAATGCAAGCAAGTGCGAATGTATTAGTTTTACACGGAAATCTAAGCCAATTCTAAATAAATATCACTTTGACGGATTAGAAATCAGCCGAAAAGTAAGTGTTAGGGATTTAGGCGTAATTTTTGATCATAAAATGATACTATCCGAACACATTGATTACGTTATCAGTAAAGCCTATAAAAATCTTGGTTTTGTTCTTCGCATCTGTAAACCATTTTCGAATATTAATACAATTAAAATGGTTTATTTTGCATATGTCAGAAGTGTTTTGGAATATGCTAGTTCAATATGGTCTCCACAGTACAATGTCTACAAAAGCCGCCTTGAGCGTATTCAAAAAATATTTGTTAATCACCTTAACTTTCGCTGTCGGAATAAAATCGATACTTACACAGACAGTTGCACTGAGCACGATCTCTTATCTCTGGAACACAGGCGCATTTTGCTTGACATGGCTTTGTTATATGATATAATAAACAGTAATATTGACTGTCCATATCTTGTCTCAAGAATCACCTTTCGTACTCCAAAATTCCGTACCCGCAATACTACATTGTTACAGACTCCCTGGCATCATTCAAACTACTGTCGAAACACTGTTCTTTCGCGGCTTGCTCGTACATATAATGAACAATTTGGACACATTGACCTCTTTGCGAAATCTAAACTTACGTTTAAAGATTACATCAAGAAAACTATTACGAAATAGAGCAGTTGAAGTTAAATTCACATACAATCATATATTCTCTCATCTATTTCTTCTATATGTGTTTTTGAGGCTACTAATATAAATATAAGTACTTAAGTTATTTTATTTAATATATATTATAATTAATTATTTGTATTATGTTTATATATTTAAACAATTTATATATATATATAAAGGTAATCTAATATATCATTCTACCTGACTATCTCTCCTGATCTGTAAACTTATGACCACCTTCATTACATTGAATTGCTTATAATTTTGCTTATAATTTATCTATTAGATTGTTCTTTTTCCTTTTCTTCTAACAACAATACACCTACCATCAAACAATATAAGGGAAACCTGTTATTGGCCATACTTTTAGTTTGTTACATTAATGTTAATATCTTCTATATACGCTGTTGGTTTTCTAAATAAATAAATAAATAAATAAATAAATAAATAAAGTAAAAGTAAAGTTACAGCCAATATACGTCCCATTGCTGGGTACATGCCTCCTCTCACTTCTGAGGGGGTTTTAGGGCAAGGAAGTGTACGCCGCAGTGCACCAATGCTTGTTGGCGGACTTCACATGTCTTCGAAATTGTTCACGATGTTTTCCTTCATCGCCGAGCACGTGGTAAATCAGCACCTAAAATTGCAATTAACAATTTAATTGGTGCCCGCGGGGATTGAACAAGGGTTGCTCGCGTATTGTGAAAACAACAAGCACTAAGCCTGAGGTACCATGGCTCTTTCTCTCTATACGTCTTTCAAATAGTCTTTGATTATCTCAAATCTAAATAACACCACATTAATAGATCTTACCCAGGCGAAGCCAGGGCGGCTCGCTAGTATATCATATTTTTTATTGATTGATTAGCGATTAAATATTTATTTACATACTATATGCAATAACTCTTCTTTTCATCATCATCATCCAGCAAAAGCCGCTATAGAGAGCCGATTTTATACTAGACAGCTTTACATCGCCGGTCTGAGTATTTTACGGCTGGCGTAAACGAAACGGTCGTACCGCCATCTATCGGAAGTCATAAGACCCTTTTTTACTGGAAACGAGGCATTCCATCTTAGTCCTCACAAGTGACAACGCATCTGCATTTTGATTCGTAATCGAACATAGATATAGATGTCTATGGGCCACAGCAACCACTTACCATCAAGTGGACTGCGTGCTCGATTGTCACCCTTATTCTATAAAAAAACAACTTTTTGGCTTATATTATAGTCGCCTCTTGCAGCACCCACGAGACGAAATAAGGTGATGGATGCGCTTACAACGCCACCAGACGACAATATTTATCACAAAGAAATAACTAAAAACTAAAATTATCAAATAGTTAGTTTGATAGTATAATATCTTTATATATAAAAATTACGTGTCACGTTGTTTGTCCGCGATGGACTCCTAAACTACTAAACTGATTGCAATGAAATTTTGAACACTAGGTGCAGTTTAGTCCAACTTGAGAGATAGGATAGTTTTTATACCTATAAGTGACCCTCAATATTTTTTATTACGAATTTAAGAATTTTTATAGGACACAGGGTCGTCGGAGAGGGCAGACCAACGTCTGCCTGATCAGCTAGTAGTATATATATTATAGTATTAATAGTTTACTTCCCACAGAATAACCAGGTAGGTTTGACGGAAACTATCACATCAGTTTTTTTCACAAGGATCTTAAATTAATTTTTATATCTTTCATAGTCATCATTACCATTATAGCCCATGCATCGCCGCTGACACAGCTGAACCTAGGCCTCTCAATTATGATAAATTTAATGCCACAAAGCACAATCCTGAATCACATGCATATATTTCCCTAAAGTAAAACACGATTCCATTAATTGTTTTTCCTATATGTTAAACCTTTCCTCGCAAGGAGAAATTTCTATCGTTTCTAAACAGAATAGTTTAGAAAAAGAAATTGAAGTACACACGACTAACTGCTCGAAATAAACGTCCACGTAAGAGGGCTTTGAAGGCAGGAAGAAATAACGCGTTATTTGAGTACGTGTTGGTGCTACACACAAACAATTAGGGTCCGTCTCGGTGCTTCTTTCACCGTAACGATCACTTAAAATTGCAGTTAACAAATTTCATTGGTGCTGGGGGGCATTGAATTCGGACTGGTCGCAAAATTTAATGCGAGCACTTTTTAATGCACTTATTCCCCGAATATTCACGGGTCACATATTAATTTTATATGTGCATTACCCAAAGAGATTTAAAGTAGTATTTATTTGAATATCTTTGTCATTACTTTTCCTAAATACATCACTATTAAATAAAAATAAAAGTAACATCTTATGACTAAGCAATTAAGCATGGAACATGACGTACCGTTACAATGCTTCATGCACTGACAGTTGGTTAACAGACCCATCCATAATATCTGTCTAGTGTGTAACTTGTCGTATGTTTTTACTTATTATAAGCCAGAAATTGACTGCAATTTCACCTGCTAAAAGTTGATGATGAAGCCCTAGAAAGTCGCTCTGTCTTATTGTAACCAAATCGTATTTACTCTTGCCTTGAAGCCACCCTTGTAATAGGACGGAACGACAGGCGCTGGCAAATTATTCCACTACTTTGCTGTACGCATAACGAAAGGCGAACTAAATATTTTGTGTAGTAACTGGGAAGAAGAAAATAAAATCGAAAAACCCTTTACCCTATATCATTTCGTGGGTGTTATTAAAGGTGACAGAGGGATACTGAATAGGAAATGGGTAGCAGCATCCCACTGATAAAAACTCAACATAATAAAAAACTGCGGTTGCGTGGCCTATCGGTCAGGTGGATTTCCTCATCCAAAGCCAAAATCTATTGAGGAGGTCTAAGACCAGCAGAGGAGATTTTAATAGGCTGTATTAAAGAAAGAATGCAAAATATTTTCTTATGAATAAATTTACTGTAGCTTCTGTAACTTCAAAAGAAATTTTGCTTTTACTAGATTTATAAAATCTTCTTACGACCCTCATTTCCAAAACAAACATGTATTTTTGTACAGAAACTACACAAAAATACAATATTTTACATTACAAGATTTTTTTCAGCAAAGCGTTATACTATGTCTTCATACTCAATACATGGCCATGAATAACATAAGACAATTATTGAAATAAAAAAAAATACGTCACTTCGAAAAATGTCTATGTCTTGAATGTGAAGATTTTTATATTTTTTATAGTATTTTTGATTTATTTATTTTTGATACTTTTTTTGTGTTATTTTATATCACGATACACGATGGGTTGCGGTTGTTCTAGAGCTGGAAATGCAATCGCCAATTATGTTTTCATGTTCGAGAGGTTAGTATCGTTAGATATTATTGGTTGACTAGCTGCTGATTCAAAATACGACAATACCCATCGCTGGTCTAGCTGTTGAGATAGTTTTTCGACGTCGCGGATGATAAAAAAATACGGAGACAATGTTACACAAACCCTGTGAACCCGATTTTGATTGTCATACGCGATATATACACACATTGTCGTATCTACGTGATAGAGCCACGCTGCAGCTCTGCTAGCTATGCAAAGCTGCAGCAGGATTTGGTTGACTCGATAGGGGTGTGGATCTGAGACTTGATCTTTCACTGCTGGCCGTATTTATTGAAGGAAGCTCAAGGTGGCTCAGCAAGCTATGTAGAGGGCTACGGTCAGGGTTTGTTTGCGTGATATACTTAAAAATGAGCATATACGCAGACAAACTAGAGTAACCGACATAGCCCAACGGATTAGTAAGCTTAAGTAGCAATAGGCCGGCCATATAGCTCGAAGAACCGACAACAGAAGGGGAAGAAAGTGGCAGCCGCATACCAAAGTGTAGGAACCCCCCCCCCCCTCTAGATGGAGTGACGACCTAGTAAAATATGCAGGAAGTCGATGGATGCAGGTTGTTGATGACCGTGTTTAATGGCATTTCTTGGGGGAGGCCTTACTTCAGCAGTAGATAAATCATCAAAATCAGCACAGTGTGTTACACAAAAAATATAATACAAATAGAAAAAATTAAATGACAATAAATTGTAGCAATGTTCTTTAAAATAATTAGGTTAGGTACTTCGTAAAGTATTTTAGTACTGCATATTAAATATAAAACATTTTTAAGCGTAATCCCTTTATTACCCGATTCCTAAACGACCTAAAAACTTTTATAGAAACGAAGCAAAGTTTACAATAATTCCATGAACCTTACAGATTTGGCACGTGCATAGCGCTCACATGCATCGTCTCTTGCATGATGATAACAACGGTGGCGATGCTATCACTGGGCATCGGACTCGGTTACAATTACTGCTTCGTGGACTTCAAAGTGAAAAAACTTTATGGTATTTAAATCATTTACTAATTTTATTTTAAATTGTTACGTGAAGGAACCACGATGCAGCTATGTTGTGGTTGTAGCACGGCTTGAGAAAGGTTTATACGTGGTAGAGCCATGCTACAGCTATATTAGTAGTATAGTTGTAGCACGAATGGGTCGGCTCGACCGAGGAAGGACCACGCTCTCACAGAATACCAGCGTTAAATAGCAGCTTAACGCTGCTGTGTTTCGTATGGTGATTGTAGAGAACGGGAAAGCCTTTTTACTGGAAAAGAGGCATTCCATCTTAGTCCTCACGGGTGACAGCACATCTGCATTTTGATTCGCAAACAAGGCCACAGCAACCACTTACCATCAGGTGGACTGTGTGCTCGTTTGTCACCCTATACTATAAATAAAAAATAGGTTGAGGGTCGGCTCGACTGGGGTAAGACTACGCTCTCACAGAATACCAGCGTAAAATAACAGCTTAATGCTGCTGTGTTTCGTATGGTGAGTGTAGAAAATCGGAGACCCTTTTTACTGGAAATGAGGCATTCCATCTCAGTCCTCAGGGGTTACAATTTCTTAATTGAGAATCAATGTAGATGTCTATGGGCCACAGCATCCACATACCATCAGGTGGACTGTGTGTACATTTGTCACCCTCATTCTGTATAAAAAAAACTTAAAATTATAAAAAAATGGCGGTTGCCAACCCGCCTACCAAGCGTGGCAACTATGGCAAAATAACCTCTATGAGGCAATCTATGAGGGAGGTCTATATTCAGCAGTGGATGTTTATAGGCTGTACTGTATGGAATTTTGCTATGGAGTAATGCGACTGACATCAAGCTATATTTGTTTTGATAATTTAAAATTAAAAATTTTGTACAGCTGACTTCAAAATAATTTATTAAAAACAACTCAAAAACTATTGGTCTGACCTGATCAAATTCATATGAGACCACATCAGAAGTACCAGCTTTCAAATAAAAAAGAATCATCTATATCGGTTCACCCAGTAAAAAGTTATGAGGTAACGCACATAAAAAAAACACAGTCGAATTGAGTACCGTCTCCTTTTTGTGAAGTCGGCAGAAAAAAGAAGGGTGTACGGGCGATTTATAACTTAAATTGTAATGAGTCCCTTAGAGAAAATTTTAAAGAAATAATCTATTAACTTTGGCATTGCAATATATTTATGAAAATGTTATGTATGTTCCTAAAAACATAAATAGCTTATATTATAAGAATAAAGATGTTCATACTTTAAACACTAGGAACAAACATAAGCTTGTAATACCAGTTGCTAGACTCCACAGAATTAGTAATTCATTTATGGGGCAATGTATACACTCTTACAAGAATATCCCATAAAATGTACAAAATTTGTCAATAAACAAGTCTAATTGTTTTTTGTGTACGGGTTATTATAATAACAAAGAATACATAAGTAAAAAAAACCCCTGGGAATGAGGTGATCGCTACCACGCTGGTTCTATTAAAACTCATTTAAAATTTGTACAAACATAAAAACAAAACGATCGTAAAGTGAAATATGTTTAAAAAAATGTCCCGCTGGGTTTCTTGCTGGTTCTTCCCAGGACGGAGGTATTTTCCGAACCAGTGGTAAATAAAAAAAGACTTTCAATAAGTATTATGTAGTAATCTATATTGAGTAAAAATTATTCTATTCTATTCTACTCTAACGGACAGTAAATGATTTTTATAAACGAGTATAGAAGATATATAAAGCAGCACAATACCATATAACATAACTAATAACTACCTACCTATTATATGGCAATATATCTACTACGCCACCATCAAACTACCATAGGATAAGGGTGACAAAAGAGCGCACAGTCCACCTGATGGTAAGTGGTTGCTGTGGCCCATAGACATCCACATCTATCTTCGATTAAGAATCAAAATGCAGATGCGTTGTCACCCGTGAGGACTAAGATGGAATGCCTCGTTTCCAGTAAAAAGGGTCTCCGGTTCTCTACACTCACCATACGAAACACAGCAGCGTTAAGCTGCTATTTTACGCTGGTATTCTGTGAGAGCGTGGTCCTTCCCTGGTCGAGCCGACCCATTCGTGCTACAACTATAATATAGCTGCAGCATGGCTCTACCACGTATTTTACCAAATATTATACAAGTTGTTATTTTATATTATATACGCAATGTTACATTTTAACAGAATTCAAAAACCCCAGAAGATCTCTGGTGAGGAAGAGAAAATCTATTGAAATGGAAGTAAATGCTACGGACGACTTTGAAGAAGAATACTACAACATACGGCCGACGATGATAATTCCCTTGAAAAGCAACATCAGCTTTTCCCTTCTAATATCCAGAATAAAGGACTTAAATAAAAACGTCACTTTAGAACTACTTGCAACTTGACACTTTATTTGTTTCGTGATGTAATTTAAGTACATACTTTTGATAGCCATGAGCGATTTATTTTTGGATTATTGTTTTGTTTTTGTATTTTTTTTCTACATTTTGTTGTTTTATTCATATACATATACTACTTTACACTTGAAATATATTTATATTTTAATTGTTTCTGGTTTAATTTGTTTTCTGAAACAGATTTAGCTTACGGCCAGGGCCAGCACAGTGCGTAGCATCCAACCGTGGCTCAGAAACAAATGCACTATTAATGTCATACGAGCGAAGTTTCAAATTAATTTTGGGGAGTTTTAAAGCATTTATTGGTAATAACCCTGGTTATACTTAGCTAGAACTTATGCCCGCTGCATTGTTGCCTATAACATTGTAGGTAAAGAGTAGCATACAAAGAATACAGAATAACAACGTTTTGTTGGCCCGGACTTCCACAGGAATTAAAAATAAAATTTTAAACAATACCAGGCTACAATATCAAAAATCTTCAGCATTTATAATGTAAGGAATAAGTTTTATTCTAAATCGTAGTGGTTAGATTCTCTTTGGCTTATCCCTCGAAGATACATTTTTCGTAATTTTTTTTAATTTCCATAGATAAACTTGTAATTGATCCTTTTAAGGCTTTAACTAGCCTGAATGACCTTGACGAAACGGCGATCGCAGAGATTTTAGCCGATGTCAACACCGTCTAGCAACTACGTTCTGTATTACTTATAAAAGTGCAAAGATTAATAGACTGCAGAGATGACAATTATATAAGTGACATACTGCCTGTTATGCTTGCGCATCACTGAGAATTATCTCGCGGTTACGAATCTTCAATAACATTGTGCTGTAGCTTTGTCCGGTAGGCGTCACGAGCTATCAAGTGTTCAAGTTTCAAGTACGTAAGAATTTTTATTATATATGTTAAATCGTATTTATTTGTATCGTATTAGTAGATCTGGCTCAAAGCGTTCACTGTAAATATTTTCTCGGGTTTGATCCCCGACAGCACGAATGAAATTTGTAATTGCAATTTTCGTCAACATTGGGGAAGCACGGCGGGCATTTCCTTGCCTTAAAACCCACTCAGAAATAAAAAAAGAGTCCTGTGCCCAGTAGAGGGACTTGAATAGCCTATTACTTTACTTTGTAGCAATATTTATATTCGTTTCAGATATAGAAGGGTACCTTATGCTGACAAAAATATCACGTGGATGCGACGAAAACGTAAAACATCTTTGTACCTAGATAAAACGTTCGAAAGATGTCAGTCATGTCATACGCCACATTTTCTACAGAGCGTAGAACATTGCAGATAGGGCAAAATAAAAAATAATCCAATATATTATGGGAACTATTTATTAATAATATATACATTTATAGGTATTTATAATAAAAATAATGAACAAGCTGCAAGGTTCAACTAATAATGTTTTTTGTAAACACCATCGTAAAATTCCTGTTTTAATTTTTACCAATTGTTAATTGATGAAACGTAGTCCAGATCACTTCATATAAAATATATTTAATTAAAATTGACACGTGACCTATTTGGCCTTCTACTTACAACTCGGCGTAAATTTGAAAAGAAATTTTGTCTTTTCACACAAGTATTGTTTACAACTGGCGTGGTTTCAAAAAGCGTGATTAAGTGTCAGCGGTATATAATCAATTAAACACTTTTCACACAAGTATTGTTTACAACTGGCGTGGTTTCAAAAAGCGTGATTAAGTGTCAGCGGTATATAATCAATTAAACTCTGAACTTTATTGTAATTTATTTTTTTGTTTATTTTTGTTATATCTTCTTAAAAACTGACGCCATCTCACTATTTTATTATTTGTTTTTTTTTTTGTACGCATAAGGATAAGTTAGACTAAGTTAGATTAACTTGGACAAGTTTATATTTTATTTAATTTTATCACAAAATTTCCGCAATAAATTATTACCTTTTCTACAGTGATTCTCTCCTCTTAGTTTCGGCGTGACTGTAGGATGTTATAGTGAGTCACCGTCAGTTACTAAGCGGCCATAAATCATTATACAGACATACATATATACATTTTTTGATTTTAATATTTATGTTTTTTGAATTGTGATTGATTTTTTAAGACCTAAATTGTAAAATTATTTTTTTGGTAAAATTATTTTTTTCCATACCAATTGATGGGCCTGAGTACAATGCCAGTTATGCTCTTTGGCTGAAGTTATTTTTTATTTTATGCTCAATTGCAGACAAAACAATATTGATTGCGCATTTCTAAAACAAAATTTTACCTTTTCTCCTTCTTATAATAGCTGCTGCACCTAACACGACAGAATAGTCATTATTATCTATAAGACCATTTGCGAAAACAGTTTTTGTTAACAGTTATGAGTGTAACATTTTATCAGCTGCTTTGTTTATAGTGCCTTGAGCAACACTTTGCCGGTTTCTGTACAGAAAATGATGCTGGCTTTGCCAATACGGATGTCCGCTACCATTGAATATAATACCCGCTATGTTACACTTATTTACATAGAAACTTTAATTACCATTTGCATAAAATTTTAAATAGCACTTTTTACACAAGAAAGTAAACTTTTAGATCAGTCCATTTTGTTTTTCACTAATTAAGTAAAAAGTAAAACAAACCAATAGGGCCGGGAATTAAAATTTCTTGCAATTTTTTATAGAAAAGCATGACCTTATCATAATATAAAAGTCAATCATTTAACCATGTGATAAAACTTTTAAGTATGCCAGTCAAACATTAATGATGATATTCGGGTCATTATACTGGAAATAGTCTTTTAAATATTTTGTAGTACAATTGATAATCTTCAGTATGATTGACCGTGTATATGACTTTTATAAGTCTATGTTATTTTTGATGAAAATTATTATTGCAGATAAAAGCCCTTTCACATTTATTTTAGTCTCGAATTAAATTAATCAAAATGAAAATAATATTTTTTTTTAATTCATTGAACTTTTTTAAGATTTTGTTGAAACTCTACTGGTAAAAAAAACAAATATATACATTATAAAATATATATATATATATATATATATATATATATATATATATATATATTATAGTTCTTGATAAAAATAATATATGCGCGTTACATCGCATCCCATCAAGAATTTCTAATGCAATTCTTGGTGTAAAGCTAAGACGTGATAATAACTGTAAACAATAGAATAACAAAATAATGAAAACATTTACATTTACATACAAAACATTTACAAAAATACTTGCTTAATAACCTAATAAATATTATTTGACCGTAATAAAATAAGACAAAGTAGTTTTGGGCATGAAAGTAAAAATAAATATTTTCGATTATTTTTGCAATATCTAACAGCCGGATCAGCGGGCGATTCTGATCCATCTAAAGATGCTAAATTTCAGCAAGCACTGTCAAATTCAATAGAAGTGACAGAAAAACGGTTCTTGATATAGAAAGGTAAATAAATTATTTAACCTATAAAGTAAAATCACTTTATTACAAATCAAAATAGCCCAATAGCTTTATTAACATGAGACATAATTGTACGAGTGCTTAACATTATTTTACTGAAATCTCAGAAAGTTTTTTTTTAAATAGAATAAGGGTGACAAACGAGCACACAGTCCACCTGATGGTAAGTGGTTGCTACGGCCCATACACATATACATTTATTCTTGATTACGTATCAAAATATAGATGCGTTGTCACCTGTGAGGACTAAGATGTAATGCCTCGTTTCCAGTAAAAAGGTTCTCCGGTTCTCTACACTCACCATACGAAACACAGCAGGGTTAAACTTCTATTTTACATGTTATTCCGTGAGAGCGTGGCCCTTCCCCGGTCGAGCCGACCCATTCGTGCTACAACTATACCTAATAAATGTAGCTGTAGCATGGCTCTACCACGTAAAAAAAATTGATATTGAAAATTGAAGTATTTTTAGAAGCAACTTTGAAATTATTTTCTATTGAGTTAATTTTTGTGGAATCGTGTTTTGCAAACCGCCACCTAAACTACATACAATTTTTTTTCGATAATGACGTGAAATTATAAAACGATCCCCATGCATTTCAATGTGGCTCTATTTAGGCTTTTAATATGAACATACCTCGGATTTCAGAGATAATGGAAGATATAATATTATATTATTACTGTTCCGTGTGAGGCAACCTTTATACTTATATACATATTCTCATCATATTTTTATGGTTGGTTAGAAAAATTATATCTAAATACAAACTTTCACAGGGTCAATTTTTTTTACTTTTTTTACCCAGCAAGTAGTAAAGCAACTACAATCCCATCGGTAAGTGGTTATGTAGTCTAAGGTGGTGAATTGCACTGACTTAACAAACACCTATTCACTCTTGCCTAATAGTACTAGGTAAGTATTATTTGCGACCTATTTGTGTGTGTGTATGTGTGTGTGTGCGTGTGTGTATGTGTGTGTGTGTGTGTGTGTGTGTGTGTATGTGTGAAGAAAAGTGTATGAGAATACGTGAAGAGGAATAAAGGTTGAGTACTAATTCGCTTACCTGTACGAGGTTGCCACTCGAGGACCTTTCTTCCTATTTTGTATATGTTTTCCAAGTTATATAGCTAGCCCATTGCCATTTCACTGTAATATTCCGTTGAGCTATGTCAGTTACTCTGATTCTAATGCCTTCATTTCTAACTTTATCACGTAGAGAAACCCCTCTCCAATTTAAAATTTTTACATTTTTTAGATGATAGTTTGTCTAACATAAAAAAAAAAACCATAAACCCAAGAATGTCTTTATATAGTTATTTATACTTAGGAAAGCACCATTCTTTTATTTATTTAAATTGTTTGATTTAATTTGATTACAGTGTACCTAAATGTAAGTATCTGTATCTTTATTTCTCTCCCCAATAATATTTTATAAAGTCATACTTATAAAAACAGCGTTTTATTGTAATACATAATTATAAAGTTCATTATCAACTAATTAATAAAAATATGTAACAATAAAATTACATAGGTATT